CTTCATCCATATACCATCACACGGCATGCATATCGATAGATCGTTCAGAAAAGCTAAAAATCCACATTTTAAGGTGAAGCGTATGCATGTGTGAGAGATACCCATATTCACCATAGGAGCTATGGACGCATCAGATCTAGGTGACCTTGACTCATCTCTAGGGAAGGACTTGAAATCCACAGACTGGGATTGCGCTCTCTTGGCTCATCGGCGGGACTTTTGTGATCCGCTAATGAGCCCCTGATTGGACTGTGGGCCATGGAAAACACTAGGTCGATCTGATAAAACAAGTGTGGTCTGTAGTCCACAGTTGAAGGTGGAGTGCCCCATAATTATTCATTCTTAAATCATATGGATCATTTTCCCATCAAATTAATTTAATTGTGTTTGTTTTATGATGGAAATTATTATAAGATTATTATTTGAATTTTTATGAACCCTGGATATTTTATTTATAATTTTTTAATTTATAAAATTAAAGATATTGATTTTACAGTTGTTTAAATATTCAAATAATATTCTAAAATCTTTTTATTAATTTAAAATATATAAAAATATCATGGGGGCCCATTGACCACATGGGCCTGCCATATTTTTAGAAGGTGGGGCCCATGAGTGCCTCCCTTGGGTGGCATGCCCCACTCTTATTTTCTTTCCTACTTTTTGGTGATATGACATGTGGCCATATGGTTGGAAAATATTGACTTGATATATCTTTGAAAGATTTTGTGGAAAGATTGAATAGACTTGTGCTATTTTATGGTATGCACAATATTTTAATTATATTTAATTTATTTAATTTCTATTGATAGATAAACGATTTAGGAAAGGGAGATAATGGCTCATACACTTTTTATAATGTTGATGGCCCATCAATTGAATAGATGACTCAGATCTCTCACCCCGTAAGTCACCATTGATCGACGGTTTATGTTCAATCTCATAAAAAGAGGCAAGCCAAAGAAAACCCTAAGAAACTTTAATCTTATTCAAAGCCTATAAAAAGGGATTGTCTCTACCAACAAATGTCTACACATTATATTTTTATCTCTCTCTCTTTCGAAAGTTTATCTCTCTCATGTTTGATCTCTCTTTCTCCCACATTGTAAAAAACCTAAGGGTTTAGGTTATAGAGTTCTTCTCTCATATCTCTCAAATATGGATTTATGGCTAAGGGTTTTAGGGTTTAGTAAAAAGAGAATCCGTCTCTCTCAAACTAGGTCGTTAAGATAATTCACCTAGGGTTTGAGTTTGTGATCAAAAAGGGTCATATTCCATTAGTGTGGCTTGCCCAAAATTTGCTTTCCCTGTTCGAGATTGAAGCTAGACCGTTGATCCCGCGCCATCGGATAGTGGTGACTCGGTGTGGGGTGTAATAAGCCTAGTTGAGGTAATCTCCGGCACTATTCCTTTTGTTTCTTGCAATTTTATCTTTTATTCTCAAGCATAGTACATAGTTGTTTCAATGGCATCAAGTTGTTAAGATCTTGGTTTTATTGTCATGTTGATTTTATTTTGAAATTTATCTTATGATAATAGAGACCACATGTAAGTGATCTTTGGCCAAAAAAAAGGGGGTGAAAGTAAAAAAAAAAAAAAAAAATGTATTACCTGATAAAAGATCACATAGTTATTTCTTTCAGAAACACTCTCAATATATGATTGCAATTAATTATACAATTGTTTTGATTACTTTTTTTTAGGAATATATTGCTTGTATTGTTTCTTACACTTTTTTTAAAGAAACTCATTGTTGAAATTTTTGATGAAATTCTTAGTTAAATCAAGATTCTTAATCTACTCCCACTGTTAATATACTTATCTTTAAACTAAAATTTAATAATATTAAGTTAATGAAGAAATAGATTTATAGCGAAGAAGTCTTTTTGAATATTTTTTTTTAAAAAAGATGAAATGCAAATTTATATCGATTCTATTAAAGATGCGATTTTTTGAAGATCTTCTGAAAGAACTCGTAATTCTTAATGGATTTCAAAATATCAGATATTTTTTTAAAATATTAGAGATTTTTAGAAGAAATCATGTTTTAAATGGAGACTTGCTAACTATGGTCCACCGTGATTACTATTGTATAGACTAACGCCCTGGGCCATTTGGACAGCAAAACTTAAGACATTGTTATTATAAAAGGCGCCATGTAAGAGAGATCATATGTAAGTTTGGAAAATATAAATCCAAGATTTACTTTTGGATAGACTTGAAATGGATTATAAATATTTTGAGTAGATTTGGAATTCATTTGTTGTTGATTCTAGATTAGTAATGGTCTTTTCTTTGATATTTTTTCTTTTTTTGGGTCAATCAATGAGCAAAGAGTCATCTGCCCAATTTCATTGATTTAAAGGAAAATCATAACATACATAACCCCACTTTTAGACAGGCAACCTTTATTACAACAGCATAAAGAAATAATGAAATAGAATATGAAGGGTAGGCCCTCCAAACTTTTCCTTTGGCATATAGCTTATGTCAAATTTAACAAGTGCATCAGCCACATGATCGCCTCTCAAATGGTATGCTTGATCGACCATTCTATGTTACGTAACCTCCAATGATAATAAAATAAAATAGTTTGGACCTGACTTAGATGATACAAGCTTCTTGCCATAGAAAGAAAAGCATAGGATTGCCAAGTCAGTCTTTGTGGTTGCAGTCAAGTTCTAGAGCCACTTCCATACCTTTTTGTAAAGCCTTGAATTATGCAGCATCATTTGAACTATGACAAGTGGCAAAGAAAAACGTGACCGATAGTGGTTGTTGTTATCACAAATTAAGCTACCACACCTTGCTACCCATGGATTATCAAAATAAGCTCTATATATTTAATTTCATGAATCCCACAAGTGGAGAGACCCATAGCACATAAGGAATTTTAGGTAGTTTAACTTCTGATATTATCTTATTTTCATTATTTGCATCAATATTCTCAATATTTTTTAAATATTATCGATTATCATATTCTTTATTACTTATTATTGTAGCTTTGAGAATTCATTTGATGATCTTCTCATATACATGTTTTTATTTATGTAATTGTTTGTTTGTCAAGTTCTTTTGTTTCCCCTTTTAAATTATCTGTGATACATCTATTCTGTTTTTATTGTTCTAATATTTTGAGGTGTCATTGACAATGGTAGTTCAAAATTGTTTTCAAAGACCTTTTAGATTCTTTATTTATTTGTTTAACCTTTTTTTTTCTTTTGCTTTCCACTTTTTTTTTTTTTGTTCTATAGCAGTTTATGTGTTTCACTTCTCAATAATGTTGATAAACTAAGATTTTGTTTAAGACTTGATTTATTCTTGCTTTTCACTATTCTGGTGCTTTGTTCTTTGTTATTGGCGTTGCATTGGTAGGTTGTCATTTGTATATGGGTTCTTGTTGGTTGTTGATTGAGTGTTTCATTTTCTATTATTAATGGCTACATTTTTATGCTTATATTTTTTATTGGCAATGGTGGACTCACTATTAGTGATTTTTTAAGTTGCTTGTATTGATTCATTATAAAATTTTAAATCGATTTTTGTGTGTCTATTTGTATTTGTATACATTTGCCTATTTTTCCCTTTCTCTAGGTGGTGGGGAAGTTGCTAATTATAAAAATTTATTTTATAAGTCAAATTATCAAAATGAACAAGTGTG